TATATATAGGTGTAGTAGTACCTCTTCGGGCTCTTGTACACCTTTTTCTTGCTACGTGTGCGTGTTCTTTAGATCCTCAGATGGCTATAGCACTTTCGTGACCACGGGCCGAGAGTCTTTGCTAGATTTTGGCATTTAGCAACTGGCATGCGGTTTAGACTAATGTGAAGTCAACAACAACAACAACAATTGTACCCATTATTTTTCGCGCGCGAAAAAAATACGAAGAGGCGTTTGAGCTAAAGCCTCCTATTTTCTCCTTTTTGTGCCCTGTTGTTTTTGACTGTTATCTCGCTAAAATCGAGCTCGATTTCAAAATCGTTTTTTTCTCTGCATTCCCTGGCACTTTGCGAGGAGGGCTGATGCATGTACATCGGAACGTTCAAGGAATTGCGGCCGAGGGAGTGCACTGATTAAGAGGTTTTACGATTGTGCGGAAGGTACCACCTGTTTTTTTTCTTGCAGCAATGACTGTCTGTTGTACGTGTACACATCTCCTTGAAATCGAGTTCGATTTCAATAGAGTTTTTTGCTCTACATTGGGCATCTTACGAGGAGGACCGTTGCGTATACATTTGTACTTTTTTCTCAAGCCATGTGCTCTTCTACATTCAGATCTCTACGAAAAACACGGCAGCATCATGTCTCTGTAGGTTGGTTCTGCTACAGAACACCTGCACCACACCCCGATCAGGGCTAGCATCAGCCGTTGCCGTTTTGGAAATTGGAACTTCAGCGACAGCAGTTTGCCAATATTATGTACTGCTCTCCCATTACCGCTACGAACTTACGTACTGCTGCCAGGCACTCCTACTGCTGTTGTGGTGCCCACAAAGTTTGCACGACCCCCCGAAATATGGCACATGTACAGCCTCCATAGCACGGATGGTACTTCTTTCTATCCCCTCGTCCCCACCAAACCACCCCTACTCACTACCCCACTCACCGGCTGCTACCGCTGTAACCTGTACACAAGGCGTTTCCAAATTCCAACGCGACACAACAGCAGTTGCTCGCCAAGGGGCGCTCGCTGAAATAGCAACGAATAAGCATGGAAAACGAACCCTAGCTCTCCGAATGTGCCTGTGCAGTAACCAAGCGTTTACATCTTCCGGTCGTCACCACAGTTCTCCGCAGCGATGCAAAATGGCTGCCAATGATCACCAAGAGGTTCGCATTGAATCACCGTTACATCGCGCAGGATTAACACCACGTCTTCAAGCACTGCCCTGGCACCCCATAGGTTGGGTAGCTGTTCGACGGAGGAACCGCCAAATCAGCCTTCGACCCCGTCTTGATGTCCAGCCCTCGGTTGTACAAACACCTGTCATCCATAGCGAGAACATGCCATGTGCTTTGCCATTCAGCATTTTCATTAGAGGCCAAAAGGAAAAAGTGAACACATCTAAGCGTCGAATTTCTCTACGGCCCTTTGTAGTGCCATGGTTGGACCGCGGACAGTTGCAAAAAGTGTGTCCGGCCGTTGTGCCATCGATATGCGTCGTAAACAAAATGCAGCAACTCTACTACAGTGGGTGGCCCGATATAGTGCCGGTTGAATAGTGCCGGTTGCCGGTATAATGCCGGTGTTTTCGGCTCGCACACACCGGAATATCAAGGCTTTCTGTACTCTGAATAGTGCCGGTGCCCGGTATAGTGCCGCTTTGCTCTCTGAACACATACCGGCACTATAGAGGGCCCCATACTGTACCTGATGCACGGATGGAGCAAGGGGAGGAAAGGGGCACAAAGAACATCCAGGAGGGAAAACGTCAGCAACTGCATTGACCCGCCTCAGCGATGCACCACGTCTTCACGACCATACAAGCCTGCACCCTGTGTCCGCCGCAACGAGCGTTACCGATGATAAACCCTGAAACTACTGCTGCACGAGTACGAAATACACTCGCGCTGTGTACATGAAACTGCGGTACCAGGAGGTAAGAACAAACAACCTGCTACATACTGCTGAAGGTTGCAGTTGAACGTTGACAAAAGGAAAGAACCACGACAAGGTTGCCAATGTACAGCAAGCAGACCTTCACAGATCTCCAGTTCCTCGGAAGGGACTGCGTGGATACAATTGCTACAAAAGAAAGGATTTGAGGTTGGACGTGGGAAGAAACGGCGTTTGACCCCTTGTCATAGCTTGATGAATGTAGCGATACAGCTTCCGGACGGATTTCGTCTTCGGGGGTCCACCTCTGCGAGCTATCTGGTACACTGCTGTCAAGTTGCTGCTATCGTGAAATGCTTGCGAGAAAAGACCGATTTACTCCGTGACGACTTTTTTTTTGCAGGACAGCACCTGTTGATCTGTCAATAATGAAACGTTCGGTACCCGTTATGTACGCACACTACAGCAGTACAGCAGCAGCCGTCACATCAATGGCGTGCTAAGCAGCGTACAGAGAGGCACGCACACGATACACCCGACGAAGGCTAAGCGCCGCAACTCACTGCTGTTGCCTTACACCTGCTTTGTAGCACCAACATATTCACCTGGAAAAGCCGAAACGGGGTGACAGCTGCTACCTCTGCTTCTGTTCCTAGCTTTACCGCCACCAGTGCTCAGCAACGTGTGCTACACAGCCAGCCGTCGCCAAGACGCCCTTATCCCATGTCCGTTGCTTCGTGGTCGGTCATGATGATGATGATGCCACAACCACAACCGGCGCTCTGGTTGATGATAAGGTCGTTTGCTTCAAACAAGAGGTTCACGCCGCCGCCGTTGCAGCCCAGCCCCAGGTGGCTTCATGCGGGGCATTGCTTGGCATGTCACCACATCGCGGCGTCTGGCCTCGCGTCATACGCCGGAAAGCACGTGATGTGCGTGTTTGTGCTGCCGGCGCGCGCGTTGGTTCTCAGCACAACGCAGCACGCACCCCGTCTGTCCAACACCTGTACTAATTCCAAGTGCCGCATTTAAAACCCGCATTGAACTCCCAATCAGATTCGTTCAAATGGGGTGGTTTCGCCCAATCAGCGGTGTCGCATTAAACAAATTCATCCCTGCCCATTGTCCCAGTTCCGTTTATGACGAATTTCCCTGTGCCTTTACTCGACCCTCGCGGTTGTTGTTGCGGTGGTGCTGCGGGTTGTGGCGCTCCTGCATGACCCGGTCCGCTGCTACTGCAGTTGGGTGACCGACCAGCAGCGTTTCTGGCACCTGTGCTGCTCTCCCCAACGCCCTGGCCTTCATGTGAACTCACATTGCTTCCCCCCCCCACCCTGAGCATCACCTACTCGTGGGCGCTTTGAGGTCGACCCTCCTGACAGCCACGACTGCATGCCTCGCGCCTGCAGTATGATGTCTCTTGCAGCTGCTATCATTTCTAATTGTGTCCTCGCGCCAGGTCTTTTGGAACGGGGTCCGGGCCTCGACCCTTCGTTGCGGCCCATGGCGGTTGGTGCTTCCCCCGTGGGAGTGTGTGGTATGCGCGTGAGTGCGCGTGGCGCGCAGGTGAGGTTGCGTGTGGTGTGTGTGTTCGCGGTACAGCAGTAGTGCTGCAGTACAGCAGTGCAGTCAGCAAAGAAAAAGCGGGTCAATCACCTGGCGCTACCCTTACCCGCCAATCGCGAGCTGTCGTTTTTAAGTCGTTTTTATGAATCAGGCCGGAAGAACCTGCTTTGGACCAATAGAATTGCGTCGTTTTTAAAAAATCAGCCCTACCTATGGGCCCTGTCTCAAACGGGGGGCTTGGGGGGTTCCGTGTAATTGGGTGCCGAGCAGGAGCAAGCAGCAATAGCAAGGAACTGGAGAGGAACACAACGAAGTGGTGTGTGCACAGGGGCAAGGAATTCTACAGCAAGGATGGCAACATGGGATGGTTCGGGAATGAGCCAGGAGGATTTCATGGTTAAAGACGAGGTATCATGATGATGCGTTGAAGACGCAATCAAATGATTGGCTGGATCACATGCTACACCTGCTATCCCAAGTCTGTTTCCCGTTCACGAAATAGTTCGCTGCGTTGGATGGCACTCTAGACCAGGAGTTTGATCTAGCATTTTCTTGGACCCAGCGTGCATAATAGACGAACATCTGCGTTCAACTTACTACTGCAGTCGATTTCCAATTTTGCACCGGTAGGTGATAGCATTGGACGAAGACGACCAAATTGTGGGACACGTGAACAAGTACCTGTCGCACCGGTTTGTTCCTGGCACGCCTAGGGGCATTCTACATCGAGCCTTCAGCGTTTTCCTCTTCGACCAAGACGGCAAGCTGCTGCTGCAGAAGGTGAGATATGCAGTCGTACCTCGAAGTAGCAACGAAGATGAATCCATATTTGGTTCATAGCTATTCAGTGAACCACACACACATCCCTTTGTTCTTTTTCGAAAATCGTTCCGTTTCTACATGTACAAATCACGTGAAAGGAAAGGGTACTTTCTGATCTTGTAGTCCTACCTCTGCCGAAAAGGACGTAGAGAGTAGTTGCTTACGCATCAGTACCAACTCGATAAGCGCATGTACTTAGCAGAGGTTCTCAGTCCCCTATTTTTGATACTCACGTGCACATTGCTTCTGTATTTGTAACGAGGGTCTGGGGGCTGGGTGCTGTCCATGCTGCGGGGGCCCCGTCCTCCGGTTCAGTCAAGAAGACTATGTGTACATAGCTATAGAAACTGCTGTTGTAATCTTTTTCGGCCCCGGTCACGAGAGCTGTAGTACGTGCAGTCTGTGCACTTGACTCAAAGGGATAGTAATACAATTATTGTACTATACACGCGCACACACTTGGCAGCATTGGTGCTTGGTGTTGAGTGTCGAGTCTTCCTTGTAATGAGACGCAGGACACTGCAGCAGTGCATTTCTGTCGTCCACCTCCTTGGTCCGCCCGGTAACTCGATCGAGTAACTCGATGGCCAGACTAGGTCTTTAGAAGCGTTTTCCGTTTTCAGCCGCACTGAGACTGACGTCTTGGTCAGCCGGTTAGCGTGCCCGATGCAATTCGTAAACGCGCACACACACAGGCTCGACCATTCTTCCCCTCTCCTCGACGACCTCCCCATCACGGGAGGCCAGCGCGAAAAAACTGGCTTTATACCCCGGGGAAGTGTTCCGCGCGAAGGAGTTCGCAAGAAAAACGAAAAAAGCTGCTTTGTGTAAAACGGAGAAACTGCGCAACGCACACAAGTCCCCATGGGCAACACGAATACATAAGAGCGAGTGATCAAATGCAACGCGTTACAGCAGTAGGACCTGCGGCAAATGCGTCATTAGCCTAAACGGATGCACTCACGCACACGCGAAAAGTCACAGCGAGAAAAAAAAATACCCCGCACTCGATGCAAAATGACAGGCATATTCTGCAGGTTGTACGCAAAGCTGGCAATCACTACCGAACGTCATGGCGTTGAGATGCAACGATGCGACCGCGATGACATTGACCATGTCCTCTTGCGTCGCCTCCAGGAGGCAAGCCACCTAACGTCCGAAGGGGAGCCCTGTATTTTGATATTTTTCCTGTGCCATATGCATAACTAAGAATTACGCGTATTTATAATGCTTGCTTGCGCCCGGTTTGTTTCTACTCCAGCGCGCGGCGAGCAAAATCACGTTTCCGAACGTTTGGACGAACACCTGCTGCTCGCACCCTCTCTTCGGCTACGATCGTTCTGAGGTAAGCAATGTTTCCCCGTAGTAACTCACATGCTTGCTTCGGCACAGGTCAACAAGAGCACCGTGCTGCCACGCGGTGCGCGACGAGGTGTATGTACACGTACGTACCCGGGGTTTTCTACGGAGCGTTTCGTCGGAAGACAGGACCAGTGCACAGCAGGCGCTGGACACTGTGTGCATGTAACACAGCGTTGACGTTGAAGGAATGTAACGCACGAATAGGAGGACGGTGATGAGATATCTATGCTGAGGGGAAAGCCTAGGTTGTTTAGACACTGACTGCTGCATGCGAGTGATCGCACACACCCTGGACATATTGCTCCGCAACCAAGAGGCAGCCAATGCCGACAAGAAAATGCGCTGGAAAGAACTAGTCGAGACTTTTTCGTGCCGTATCGGTCGGGTTTTGCATACGCTCAAGGTTGCGGAGTACTGTGGTTGAGCTGTGCAAGTGCGATGGGTGGGACTGCGGAAGAGTTGGTGGCTTGGCACAACACGAGGCGAAATGTGGCTGTGATACCTTTCCATTTAAGCCTGTCAGCACGCTTGCCATCTCCTTTCACCTGTGATACAGGTAGACAAACCGGAGGACTTGAAGGATGGATCCGTGCCGGGGGTGAAGAATGCTGCCGTCCGCAAGCTAGCTCATGAGCTTGGGATTGCAGCTGAGGACGTGCCGATTGATTCTTTCAAATTCCTGACGCGCCTCCATTACTATGCGGCTGACGCTGTGACGCATGGCCCCAACGCCCCGTGGGGTGAGCACGAGATCGACTACATCCTCTTCGTTCAGGTGATTTTTCGCGCCCGAGTTGATGCTGTATTCGTCCTGACTACAACGACGAGCATGAGACTGCCATTCAAGTCAACTTGCGTTCGTGGTGACTGTTGTTCATGTTTCGTGTGGTGTTTTCGTACACCGTCTCGACTGCGGGACCAGGTGGACAGCTCGCTTTCGATGACACCTCATCCGGATGAAGTCGATGCTGTCAAGTGGGTGTCTCTGGAGGAAATGGATGCCATGATGAACGACAACGGTGCGTGCTTTCGAATTTAATTCAGGAAAACATTGTCTTGCAGACAGCAGACAAGGAACATCCTGCACCAACAGATAAACATATCAGTCACCTCGCGATCGCCGTTTAAAGTCAACGTCAAATGCATGGTTTGGTGCCGCTTTCGTCATCCCAGAGAGGATCAAAACTGACCAGGAAGGGACACGGGCGTCAACGATTTCAATGCGGCTCTTGTTTTGTGGGTGAATTCAAACCACGCTTTTTTTGTGCCTTCTGTCGCGGTGCACTTTCTTTCTTCCGAAGCCAACCTCTGGTCGCCCTGGTTCCGCATCATTATGGAGCGCTTTGCTCGAGAATGGTGGCTAAACTTGAACGACGCCATCAATACCGATAAGTACGTGGACACGGTCAACATTCACCGGTTCGATCCGCCTGCCAAGCATCGCGGGGGTGCCGGCGTTACTGGTTTGGTAGAGGAAGGCGCGAAGGCAGCAACCATCGACAAGTGAGGACTGGCGGTTATTGGTAAATTGCTGGCCTTGTATTTATTTCTGTGGCATCGCGTGCCGAGCGGAAGCGACGGGCTGTGTTCATTTATTCATATATCTCCTTTGCACATGTCGCCAGGGACGTCTGAATGTTTTCTGTCTGGAGCTTTTTTTTGTTTTTGCATTTGTGATGCTTTTCTGCGTCTTAATGTTTTCTGTTTGATACGTGTGTTTTGTCATTCTTGAATGGTTGACCTGTGGCCACAGAAGGCGTCAGCGCAAGTTGTACCAGTACGGGTGTTGGAAGGTACCGGGCAGAGACCGGCACGTTTTTTTTACAATGAAGTCAACATTACCACCAACTACAATAACTGACATTTGGCATGTGAATGAACTTGCGTTGGCACTGTACGTGTGCAACACCGGGCCGAATTTGAGAGGGGCACGGCGGTAGGGTCTGCAAAACTCATCCTTAACCAGCATTTCCTATTACCTCGACGTAAGCTTACAAAAGTTGATGTTTTTGCCTTTGAAATCGATCAAAACGCGACGGTCCAGGAGGTGATTTAGGGTGCCCGAGGTGGGCTGAGATGGAGACGGAAAACCGTATGACTCATAAAGACAAGAAATCAGTCCTGTTCTGGTTCACGTCCCACCTAGTGTCATCGCGGAGGAAGTCTACAAGCCGAGTCGTCAATGTTGGACGGGCTTCCTGCCGGCTAGGGTTCATACTGATACTTTCATCTGCATGATCTTTATTTATGCTGGCTGCAACCCTTTAGTCGTATGCACTGTCGTTGACCCCACCGGACGTTCTATTTGCCTCCTTTGTCGACATGAGGACATGAAGCTATATCCTGCTACACACACCGAACCTGTGTCGGAACGGATAGTAGAAGCGGCTCCATTACCCGCCTGCTTCAAGGGAAGGAGACAGACACAATCGAAATCGTCCTGTCTTGGGTCTCTTAGTAAAACTGTTTCAACCTCGAACAGAGGGAAAAATCTACTCCGTCTTGTACGTAAATTTTCGATGAGGTGGCACTTGGGGGGTAGTGCTGACTGACTTTGCATTGTTCCGTGTTTGACATGTCATTCTTCTATGATACAGGTCGAAGAAGCAGGGCGCGTATGGGAAGGTTCCGACGATCAAGGCTGGAAAACTTGCCCAGCTGTCACACGTGGACGAGGTGGCTCCACGTCGCGTCTTGTTTACTGGGACAATATATGAATCGTGTGTAGGAGTTTTCAGCATGGGGAGGATCGTTTGTGTTTATTATTAGGGAGATGGAAACTCGCGATCAGTAACATCTGCGTCGCTCGGGGAGTAACTTTTCTCGTTCCTTGAAGCAGCGGTATTTTCTTGGCCGTCGTTGAAAGTCTCGCTATGCATTCACCGCGTTCACTGCATTCACTCTCCGTCTTGTTGAGTTTGGGTCGATGGCGTGATGACGTGCTCCTGGCGGCGGTACAGTGTTTGACATGATGCCCGCTTGCCTGCTGAATGCTTGTAAAACCATAACCAGGTGTTCGCGGCGCTGTGGTTCAAGGCAAGGGGTGCTTTCACAAACAACCTTGACCAGGAGGACTCTGACGTAGCTTTCTGCAACGATATGCTCGGCAAGGTAAGCCAATACTGTGGGAGTGCTACCGAACGACACCAATACACGGACTGCCGTCGAGGGTACAAGTTATGTTCTCACACTTGCTGCGATTGTTGCTCCGCGTTGCTGGGCGTTGTTGCATGGAGTGAAACCAAGAGTCCTGCATCTATCCGTTGCTCATCATGGCTCGCAGGTTAGCCGCTCTTTCGCCGCGGTCATCAGGCAGCTCCCGAAAATGCTCGCCACAGATATTGTGGTGTTCTATTTGGTTCTTCGAGGGCTTGACACTGTGGAAGATGACATGACGGCCTTCGACGACATTCAGGTTTGATTATTCTTTCCAGTGCCAGCAGAAGGTAGTTGTGGCTCTCCAAGGCAACCCGATATGATGTTCTTTGTCTAGCCATTCCCTGGTATGCTTTTGTGACTTGGACTCCTCGCCACCGCTGTTGGGTCGGTGAAACTTTTTTCGTTCCAGCATAACTATAGCAACGTTGCATAGCGTTGCGTTGGCATTAGTGCATGTCAGGAGAAGAGTCCACCATGTTCATTCGATGTTGACTCGTCAACGCGCATTGCTTTCTTCAGGTGAAGATCAAGCTTCTGACGACATTCCACGAGACTGCTCTAGTCGACAGGGCGTGGAAGCTCGAAGGGGTTGGACAAGGGGATGAGCGCGTTCTTCTTGAACGGTTCTCGTCCGTGACGGCCGTGTTCCAGTCCTTGTCCCAGGGCAGCCAGGAGGTAGGTGTGTTGTTGCCCCGATTATTTTTTACGACGGGGCTGTGATTGGTAAGACTGTGTCATCATGCACCTGACCCTGTGTCTTGTAGAACGCAAGACCTTGAGAGTTTCGATTGCGTTCGGAGTTCGGAGTGTCAAGATCGAGACAGCCGTCCATTTTGGGGCTGAGACGAGTTTTCCAGGGTTTAGTTCCTCGTTTGTGAAACATGAGCCTCAGCTCTCAAGTAAACATGAAGCGCTTTTTGTCTCAAACCCATCCTTTTTAAGTGATCGAAAATCCCGTTTTGCAATAGGTGATCTCTGACATCACCAAGCGCATGGGGGCTGGAATGGCGGAGTTCGTGTCTAAGGACCTGGGGCAAGGCACGACTTCCACCGTAGAATACGACAAGTACTGTCACTACGTGGCTGGCCTGGTGGGGGATGGGCTTACTCGGCTCTTCGTGGCAACTGGCATAGAAGGGCAAGAGTTGCTGCTCGCTCCGGAACTTGCGAACAGGTGCGGTTTCAGTCGTTCCTCACAGATTGGGGTCACGACTTTTATGTCGATATGATACTTTTCCCATTTTTTTGCGGATTCCCGTCTGCTTTCAAATGGGCTCAATTCTGCTTGTGCACGCTGACTCGTGCTGACCACCGCAGTTGCACGCAAACGCAATTCGAGGGTGTTGCAGGCCAGAAATCCAATTTTGAGAGTCGTGCGTGACGTGTTTGAATGTACATGTACAGCCACAGTAAAGACTGCCCGTTCGAGATAAAAACCTGTTTTGCTCGTTATTTTGCGCGACACATAAAGGCTGTCTAATGTTGAAAACCACGAATCCCGCTCGGTACTTCTGTGCTATCGTGTACCATGCCACAGTCTAGGCGTTTTGGGGCAACAGGGTTAGTCCTAACAGCTCTCCGGTGTTACTAAAACGTCAAGCGTGAAACCCGTTATGTTTTGCGGGATGGAAGAGCACTGTTCGGGTTATGTGCGCGCACCACGTGTGTGGGACTCATTTGCGATTATCGTGGTTGCCCTGAACATGGTTGTATTACCTCAGCATGGGGCTCTTCCTTCAGAAAACCAATATCATTCGGGACTACCTCGAGGACTACGTGGACGGGCGCGCTTTCTGGCCTCAGGACGTGTGGAAGAAACACGCCAAAACTGGCCAACTGGGAGAGTTTGCCCTTCCTCAGTTTCGGTATGTCGTTCCTGCAGCAATGCGCTCCTAACACTACATTTTGCCCCCGTTGAGCAAATTTGATTATGCTTTTCTTCGGACTTGCTTTGCAATACACACCGCTGTTGTTAAACCTGCGTTGGAGAGAGTCAGTCAATGGGCACACGCAAAGGCGTTCTAGGAGGGCATGATATTGCAAACGTGCCAAGCTCATGAGCTCCGACGCAACCTGCGCATTTCACTGATGCTCATGTGACGCAAGACATTTTTGCCGGGGGGGGGTGCAGGTGTTTGTTGTTCTCACCCGAGTTGTATAGTCTACTCGAACATCGCTGTTCGAGACTGCCCCAAGGACTCCGAAATGCCCTTGACCACGCCCAGCAAATTCGTAGCGTCGCTCACTTGCAGGCTGTTCGCAATCTGATTTGGCGTGTGTGCGCAGGGAGAACGCTTTGGCATGTTTGAACGAGCTCGTGACTGACGCTCTGGCTCTGGTGCCCGATTGCCTTGCCTACATGCGGCAAATCAAGGACCCCGAAGTGTTCCGCTTCTGCGCCATCCCCCAGGTGAGAGGATCGACGTGGTACTATGACGGGTACTGCTTCCACAAGGTGTTGGCCGTGGTTCGGTTGGATTGAAACTAACCTCCTTTCGCATCTGGTCTTGGTATGCAGCGCATTCATGGCATTCGAGCGCCTTGCTTGATGCAGCATCTGCCTGTTCGTTACCCGCATGTATATGCAAAACAGGTGATGGCCATTGCCACACTCGCGGAGATATACAACAATCCAGACGTCTTCCGTGGGGTTGTCAAGATTCGAAAGGGGCTGGCATGCCGCATGATTTTGGAAAGCGGTAATTTGGAGGGCATCTTCTGTTGGTTCAACAAGTTAGCTGAAGGCATCGCTGCGCGCGTGCCTGCGTTGGATCCTTGCGCCAGTCGCACAACGCAAGTGTGCAAAATTGCTGTGGACATGACAACCCCCACGGGAAAGGCTCTCAGGACGAGTAGGACAAAAGTTGTTCTCTATTCGGTTCCGGTGCTGCTGTCGGCCGCATACTTGTACCGAAGGTGACAGCACTTGTCGTGCCGTCGTTTAGGTTGAGTTATTAGGCTTTCGTAGGGTGTCCTCCGTGCGTTGCAACTTGTCGTAAGAGTGCCCGCACTCAGTGCAGAAGCGTTTTCTGCCGGTAAGCTCGACGTGACGCAGTTCTTGTGGTGCTCTCGCAGCCCCGGGATGCGTTGACACGGACTTCGGTGCATTCTTGAGTACTGGTCCCAATAACAAATTTATTTTGTCATCTGCGTTACCCTCTGACGTGTATTTCGATGCCCTGGCTGGCGCGTTCTGTCTGAAATACGTGCATCCGATCGGGCACCTGAAGCACACCGCGCTAGAAGTTCTTTCCTCTAGACGTGGTGAAACGCGGCGGGTCGCAGACGAAGCTCAAAAAGCATGTCGTACGCGAGTAACCGTCGACAACAGCATATTAAACTCGACGTGACGCAGATCTACAACTCCAAGCGAGGATCTTGCTATTGTCAACCCTCCCCCCACCCCGCCCCCCCGATTTCTCTCTCCCTTGCGAAATTTCTTTAACGTAACAGCAGCATGTCTATACATGTACGCACAGCAAGAAAATCGGCTCCCCACGGCTTTCGAAAACCGGAGCCAACATGACATATATCACCACAGACCCATGATTGCATGCATAGAACACTTATTGCGCTCTTTCTTAAAACCAGCACCACATATACATGACTCGGCTGTTCAGCTCTGGTGACCGATGTCAAGATTTTGCGAGTTGGAACGGATGATGGTGTTGGTCCTGTTCCGCGCCGAGGCAGCCCCTTGCATGCGTGTGGAAGAGGTGCTCGAGGTGCTCGACACGTACAGGGAGTGCGACCGATACACGGCACTGCTGGTTGTGCTGGTCTGCTTGAACGTTACATCCCTGGAGCGTGAGGGATACCGTATGCAGGGAATGAAGTGATCAAGAGCGAGTCACACGTGAATCGGGACATGGGTATCAGATGATTCGAGCAGCCCTTGCGAATCAAAGACCACCCGTCTAAGAACAACACACCGGACCCACTAACCTCAGGCCTGGCCGTTGGTTTTTCCCGTTGCCAGCTTGGGATACTCTCCTCCCCCGCATATCGCCGATTCGTGGCGTGTCTCGCCCTCTGGTTGCGAGAGTCTTGGAGCGAGACGCACTCGGAGGTGGAGGAGGCATCACCTGAATGAGTGGTGACAGCAACATGACACGACGATTGATCATATACACGATATTTACTATGGCGGGAAACATTGCAGATATCGTTGCTACTTGTATCACTTACCGGCCGCCTCCCCATGGTGCGCTGCTCTTGCCTGAAGTAGTCCAGAGCAGCTGAGAAGCGTTGCTGTAAAGTGTCGGGTGTGGCGCGTGCGATCAAGGTCAGTCTCCAAAACCGGTGAAAAGATACGTCTGCCCTTATCGACGTAGAAAGTGCAACAAACGATAATCAGGTGGATGTCAGTGGAGTTGAGCACCGGCTAAGAACTTACGAGAAAACATAAAATCGGGGGGCCGCCCACCCACCGGCAGGGTGGATACTCTCCCCACACCACAAAAAATGTCACTGTATTACACGGCCCACCCGTGTAGTCAATTGGGGATGATTTGCCCTGTTCGTTCGACTAACCTGCTCGACGCCAAGCTTGTTCGTCAGGTGCCGCATGGCCTGGGGGGTGCGTGCTGTGTCTTGATACGTTTGCTGACCATCTGCCCCGGTCTGGACCGCCTGCAATAATCATCATCACCCATGGTGAGAGCCAGTCAAGACCCGTGGATAGACATGAGCTGAAGAGGAGTAAAGGTTTCGGTTCAAGATGCCGATACAAAAACAGCCCCCACCAACTCACGCAAAGTGCCACTGCGCCCAGATCGAGACTGTCAGCCACTTCGAACTCGTCATCCTCCTCGTCATCGTCGTCGCTCTCGTCTTCTGGGAGACCAGACGCTGCAGCGATATCCTGGTCCGTGCCGCCATCTGTACCCAGAGTGGGCTCACTTCTCACGTCCCAGCTGGCAACACTCGTGTTCCCCGTGTTGTCCGGGATAGTAGCCATACTAGTCGTGAAGCCACGCTCCCTCCCACGCTCGGCAAGTTGTCGACGGGGCGTCAGTGAAGCCTCGCTTCGCGAAGGGCTAGACTCTGACCACTGACTCATGTCGTCTAAGCCTCCGTGCCCAAGCTCTGACAGCTCATCCACAGCTTCGTCGTGCCCATCGTAGTCGTGTTCAGTGTCTCCTTCCAGAACGCTTCCTTCCTCATCGTCAGGCCGAGCCTTCTCGTTCCACCTGTAAACAGGCAGGGAGGAAGAGAGGGATACTCAAGACAACTAGATAACATTTGCAAACCCAAGGCCCTGCTGTGCAGTGCGAATGCAAACCTTTGCGCCAACACTGGTGAGATACCTTCACTGGCTGACCGACAGCTGCACGTCTTACCGTACGGTGTCTTCCGGGTTGACAGAATCGTCCAGGATCACTACCGCTTCGCTGGCGGGCGTCATGGGAGGCGTTGCCTTGTCTTGAGCTTCGAGTTTGTTCATTAGGCGGGACATCTCTCGCTTTTTGAACTCTTCTTGCTTCCCCTTGAGCTTTTTCAGAGTCTGGTAGATGAGTGACGGCCAGAAGAAACAGCAGGGGCAATTGATGTGATGTATGCACGTGTCTAGCGTCCCCCGCAGCAAACATTTTGTGGCCACGCAATCAAGCATATGCATCATGGGTAAATGACCGGACGACGATGAAAAGGAGAGAAGCAGTCGTGGCGTGCGTACTCGAAGTTTGTCCCACTAACTGGGCCATTGACCACGTATCCCAAGCCACCGCACGGGGCTGTAGTTTCCTCGTAGTTTCTAATCACGTTCTTCCAAGGTGGGCATTACTGCGCGACATGTATGGGCCGAGAGGGTCCTCTTTCGCTTTCGTTTATGTACCCAACCGCTATCTTCGCTTCGGAGGGGGTCTGAAATGAATATGTCTGGTAAAAACGCGACATCAAGCATACTGCAAGCATACTGCAAGCATGTCAAAGGGTGAACGTCGCCTCTTTCCTGCTACGCCTTGGCCGCGCCCACACCCTGTCGTGGTTGAAGAAGGCGCGACAAAGCCACCATCCTATGCGGTGCGTCTTGGGGGGGGTATTGAACCGCGACGCCAAACTCCAACGATGTCGAAAGTTTGACATGATAAGCATGTGTATTATGCAGACATGCAGACCTACCTGCATGACCTCTCGCGCGTTTCTCTCGGCATCGACGATGGGAGACTGCTCGAGAAACTCCACCACAGATGCCCACCACTGCACCAATACAGCCAAGGTAACAAATAGACAGGGCAGGACATATCAATTAATACAAAGCCACGGCTGGGAGAAATCTCGTGTTGGTAAACGGACCCATCACCATCAATGTTAGTGTCGCTTGTATTACATGTGAGTTTCGATACGAAAACGTTGCAGTCGGGTTAGATAAGTTCCTACTGAAGACTAGAAGTGTGGGTGCATGAAACGGAAGCTCGATACAAGTATCAGACAGCGCTCTGCCGTACAGGTCGCAATGCCTACATACTTATACCTGCACACCCAAGCATTGTTGCTTTGGAATTGAGGGTGGACCATGCGTTGTCTGAAAATAAAAATGCTACAACCAGAAACGGGCGGGTGGTTTGGACGCAGTAGTCAAGCCCGGAGATTGGAAGAAGTTCAGCGAGAAATGAAAAACAGGCACCCATCAACCTAAACCAAATAAGTGATGTCTGCGATACCTGTGCCAGGAAACAATCTGGCCACGCTTGATCTAACAATACGTAGTGAGAGTAACGAGTAGGGACAAAGAGGAACAAGCGCATGCCCGATACCATGGGCTCTTGGATTATGAGTCGAACGAACCAGCATGTAACCATTACTGTACCTCATCGAGGAACTGTGTGAAGGCATTGCTCCCTGGCTGGAGCTTCGCAGAGGCGTTGACGGTCCGCCGAATGTCCTTTAGCATTTTCATTATTGAATCTGCGTAGAATGGAATCTTGGAGATCTCGTCCCGGTGCCTGTCAAAGCAACGGTGTTTGTTGGGTCCAATTCAAAGGTGTGCAATCAAACGTGTTGCATTCAGTTGTGGCCCCCACACACATGCCGTGACGTTGGAGTTTGACCGCCACAGGTGGCCTGCAGGAGGCTACGCATAAATAGGGCTAAGTTGACGGCAGTTGCGAAAGTGTCCGTTATTCTCCAAAAGAGCAACGAGAGCTACTCCCACTGTCATTAGCGACTGCAAGTACTGCGGTCTCAACTTGGGCAGTGCTAACCGATCCAACACATGCATACACCGAGCGCGACCTACATGAAGAGACGGCTGCACTTGTGGTCGAGACAAGGATGGTCAAACATGCTGCATTAAGATTTGAACGTATAGTCTAGACATGTCTGTCACGACAGCATAGCCGACGGTGGACACGATTTGTGTGATACTTCGTAGGGGGCTGAAGAAGACATACAGGTGCATCCAGGGAGACCGCGTATCCAGGGAGACCGCTTAAGGAACACCCACAGATTTCCCACAATTGCAGTAGTGGTTGAATACCACAGCATCGAGAAACTGCGCTGTGCTTCACCCACACCCACACCCACACATTCGCCACCGCCGAGACGCAGCCTTATCCACGGGACAGGGATCTAGACATCGTAATTCTGTATCCCAGTTCTGCAGGGGTAACTGTATAGTAATTGCCGTTACCTGATACCCGTCAACAACACGGAGCCAGATCCCAAACCCCGTCAACGCCCAAGGCTCATTTGGCATGTGTTCCCCTCTTGTCTCCTCTCCCAAACAATCCTACAAGACAAGCTACAGATAGATGCCTTGGCTTCGGTCGCGTTCAATGGCCGTCATGTGATGTGGGTCGCCTTGCTCAGATCACCTCACGTTAAGGGATATGCTTGCAATCGAAGTTGGCTCATTCCCACGCTGAAAGAGGGGGAGGCGCGGTGATCCTGTACCCATGAACGTTAGTTGAACACGATAGCGTTTGGATGCGACACCCCCCCGCTGTGCTTCCATTTGCTTCATCAACATCGCCACCCTACGTAGTCGAAGCGGTCTCCCATACAGCCAGAATGGCAATCGTACCTGCGGTACTGGTCTATCAGGCCATCCGTGCTCTCGCTCTCTCCAGGTATGGCTCCATTATCATTGGCCATCACGTTCTGCGGGGGAAATGTTGGATGTTGGATTCGGCATAGACGGCGTTCGTGAAAATGTTTCACTGAATTGAGTTGAGACTGGCTTGACGAGCACTTAGGATTAGATTTCCTAAAGACAACGCGAAACAACGCAGAAAAAAACACCAAGGCGTTGTCAACCAACTGAACGTTTAACGCAGTTCACCAAACGGGAAAGCTTCCTTTGCCTTTGCATAATTTGTCCTGTGCTCTGTTGTAAGGCCGAAAACAAGGTGGCTGGATCATTATCTTGGTGAACTCGGATAGGGAGCATGATTTTGGCGTCACTGGGGAAGCGTGTTCGTGGCGTTTCGTGTGTGCCCTCAAGTCTTCATATTTGTACAGCAGTAAGGCCGCGCAGCAGCAGTCCAAAAAAAAACATGGCTTCTTGTTTTGAGTTGACGGGCAGGAGACTCCATCGAGGGCATTGGGGTACGAGGATCCAAGACGCCTACAAGTACTCCGTTGGCTTGTGTACATGGTGCAACCACCTTGTAGAACTGGATCGCGTGTAGAGCGATAGTCTTTTTCTCGCTGCACTCGAATTTGAGGGCCCTGGCGCTCATCTCGCTAATTGCGTTGATGACGTTTTTCTTCGTTCTTCGCCACTCTCTTCGCTTCTCGTCGAAGTCCTGTTGTCCGGAGATGGATCGAATACAGCAGTAGACAAGGCCGCGCGGTGACTTCCATTGATATTAAGTTTTCTTTCGCAAACATATCTATGCATACAGCAGTACAGCAGCAGTAATCTGCTGCGACTGGTATGGATGTATGGATCTCTCGAGGGTTCGGGGTACGGGTACGGGGGCACCGGCGCAACGAATAAGTGGATCCGCGGGGAAATTTATGTCTGCTTTCTCTGCTTCGGGTACTCGAATACATCGGATGAGCCTTCACCGCGGGAGCCAAGAAACGTCAGCTACACTATACTGTGCATACGTGCATATGCTTACGCGTGTGCATATGTATCTACATACATTCGACGACCCCCTGGCGATGCCAAGCAAGGCGAGGTTCTGTGGATTTGTGGAAGACATCCATCCGTTCGGCCTACGCAAGGTGATACAAACAAAGCTTCTACGGATGTACCCGCTTGCCTGTTTGAGCACCCTCGTGCAGCTGACCCGACGGTTGAGCTCCGATTCTTCTTTCGTACAGAGAATCTCCAGGTACGCGGTGCAGTCAGCCTCAAAACCGCTCTCCGAGTTGATGCCCCTCACGAGTCCGTCCACCTCACGCATGTACCGCACGAGCGACCGAACCTGCTTGAGCTTGAAATCCTGAGGCAGGGCGCTACCTTCGATCTCTGCTATGCACTGCTGCATGGTGCCTCTCGTTCCTCCCACGCGCATCATGGCTAGCCTCGCACACGGCCCCCTGTGGGTGCGTGGTCTTGTGTGTGCAGTGTGAAGAGGAAGTGGCCGTTGGAAAATAGCAGATAGCAGAGGGTTGCTTCGGCCACGGAGCCCCCTATCCACATACCCCGTACGCCTCAGCCGTGTGCCCCCCCAGGTAAACATGACAACTGCGGATAGTGCTCTAAAGCTGGACCCCAGCTTTACTAGCATGCACATCAGGATTTCTTATGCACGGGCAGGTGAATTGGTACAGTGTCAGATTGGTAGCTTGGCTAGCAATCCGGAGGCCAGTTGTGTATTTTGAACCTGAAATAGAATACAGAGGATATTTTTTGAACCTATATCCGCATGAACAAGTAGATCACAGCCCAAGCAAGTGCTGTTTGTTCTCTTTGCTTTGAAATACATTTGGAATGTTCACCACCGCCAGATGAACACTACTACACTGGTGTTTGTATTGTTGAAGTGATTTCTTGTGGGATACGTCCGGCTGGTATTTCTGCCACGGCCTCCATCATCATCAGTGCGGAACATATCTCTCTACATATCCGTTCAGCCATCTCTGTCCTGCCCTTCTCTTCAGCTGTACTCGTGCCTCCGATCATTCGAAGTTTCCCCCCCCGCCCCCATGTTCCATTCCCCCCCTGATCAGCTGTCCTTTTTGATGCAAAGAAATCACACCACACAACACAGTCAACGGATGGATATCGACACGTTCCTATCGTAATACGTCACGTATTGGTGGCCGTACTAAGTGTCAAAGCAGCGTTGCCATGGAAATTCTTAAATTGTGAATCCCTTCAGACCTACTTCTACGTCTGCATATGCATAGTACCTCATATTCTGCAAGGCGCCAAACTAAAGCCCTTGCGGAATCAAGACATAAAGAGGAAGACATGACAAACACTTTTCAAGCATTGAATGCCTGCGCTAATATGACAAACGGACTGCATTATTAGTACCCATACTTCAAACATCACGCGTAGCCTGCCATATTCCCACCAGAGAGCCGGTTCGATGACGCCAATATGATGACCATGCTGCTGGAGTGCTGGGTGTCTAAGGTCCTTGTACTCCGTTTTGGAAGAACATGCCATCGTATATCGTAGCAAGCAGCAGATCCACAAACTCTCACTCGATACGTATTTCCCTGAACGATACGTTGTGAAGACACTTTTTGTCAATGCCACCTACAGCAGCACAGTGCCGGCCCGCACTTAAGAACCTACTATATTGGGCGAGGCTCAGTTCTTATTGGCTGCCCCGACCCGAGCACCAGTTCTTATTTGCCAAGTTCTTATTTCGTCGTCCATTCTTCTCCAGAACGGGGCGTTCTTGTTCTTACAGTATTTTAACATAATTTGCTATATTGTCGGCTGTCAACCATGAGCAACACTAGTACTGCTGTCGATACAAGAAAATACCAAGGCATGGAGCAGCAACTGTCAACCTTCTTGGTCCACAAGGGTGACGTTGGTCCTGCGTGCCCTTCCCGATCTACTAATGCTCTCAAGCAAAACCCAGGAACCTACAGCCGTATCCGAAGCTCCGCTGTACTTGTCTAAGGGCAACTTCATCTTGCGCGTACTCTGGTCTAGCTCCAGCTGCACACAGTAGTCGTACAGGTGGCGAGTGTCCTTCTGAGATTGTTGAGTGATCAGCCCTCCAAACCACCCCATGCCCAGCCTAACGAGCACTCCACGCCGCAAAAGCAATCTGTCAAGAGCAACGGGTTAAGCTTCTTGAATACGAAAGCCTGCCGGGATCTCCATTCCCTGTATCTCATCCTCCGGGTCTTGTGGGTCCATGCTGTCGTCGTCGTCCTTAAGAGCTAGCTCGTCGGTCTGGGGTTGAGAGATGTCTGCTAACGAGGCAACGGGAGACACAAGAAGTTAGGGTGTCACGTCGCCAAACCCAACCTGAACTTATCATAATTTGAGTGCAGCCGTGCGCGGAAACAAGCTAACGTCAACATGAAGGACATCGTCATCAACAAAAAGAAGGTGAAGAGTTGGTTTTGTGCAAAACAAACTTACCGCCGTCGTCTTCATCGCTGGAGTCAACGCCCTCCATGAGCGTCTCACGTCCTCCATCGCCCTCCTCCGCCCGCCCCTCAGGCTCATCGTTGCCGTTCTCCGAACCTTGTTCGCCGTCGCTACTGTCTTCATCGTAAGCGAAGGTATACGGCTTGTCCAAACCCTCCAAGGTGATTCGATCATCGCCCGAGCCGTCCACGGTCATGACCATCCCGCACTTCTTGAAAAGACGGTATCGTTACGCCTGTTGGCTGTTGAGTCTTGCCATGGCCGCTCCCATCCACTGAGTGATCAGGACGCGCCGATCAGAAGCTGTCAGCGACGCGGTTTCCCACCTCTCGAGGTTGTCCGACTGCTCGAGCCATATGTCCATCTGCCTCCCGACTTCCACCTTGAGAAATCGTCCGGCTTCTGCATGAACTGGCTGCACCTCGTCCGTGCACTCCGAAGGGCCATACCAGGCGAGAGTGTTGCAGTGCTTCGCAAGATACTCCTTGAACTCGTCCGTGGTCTGCGCGTGCAAGTTGTCCATGATAAAAATAGACCTCGCCTTGGGGAGCTCACCCCGCCCGCGCATCACGCTTTCTCGGGGGCACCCAGGGGCACGACGCGTGCGTTCAATGCCCACCCTCCCCCTCTATAAAAATACAAAGGTTGATATGTGGGGTATGTTCCCAAATCCAATACTCTGTACTCTGGGATCACTCCCCCCTCCTCCCTCCCTCCCCCTGCGAGTATTATTATCTGGCAGCCGCTGCATTGCTGTCGTTCTTATTTGTAGCAGCAGTTTTGCACCTCAGGTGTGTGTTCTTGTTCCTAACAGGGCGTGCGGCTGAGCACGTGTTCTTATTGGTAAATCCTTAAGTTTTGTATTTTTTGAGCATCAAATTCCTAAGTGCCATATTCTTAAGTGCGGGCCGGCACTGTAGACGTTTATTTGATACCCTTTACTACAATTGAATCTCCGTGTCTCCTTATCGTTTTCACAGGGTTCAGGGAAGAAAGCCAACAATTCGATGGCATCAACTGCCGGGCCTAAGAACTTGTGCTTGACCATGCACCAACCCTGGGCGTCGCTACTGGTTGCCGGTATAAAGCGCGTCGAGGGACGAAGCTGGTCAACCGAGCACAGAGGAATCCTGTGGGTTCATGCAGCAGCGAAGGAGCCAAACCCTGCGGAGGTGAGCATGGTAAAAGGCGTGCAGGCCCGCCAAAGAACGGATACATGCGGAATGCTTGTTGACGAACTAACAATACGGGGTCAACACTCTCGAAATGGCTCTCCCTGCTGGCGCTTGGTGTGCCTATTTCATCTGAATTGTATTCGTTTGCACACCCTACTCTACATGTACGGTGTACGCGGAATATTTGAACTCGGAATCTACAATACTGTGATTCTTTCCCCCAAACGTTATTGATTATAATAAAAAAGTGTAGGTTCGCGCGGTGGAGGACCAATATCGGTCAATTTATGCTGCTGACGGTAACTCAGACAAGCTGTGTCTACCGACATCATATCCAACTTCTTGTCTCCTCGGTTGCGTGGACATCGTGGGCTGCCTGCCTCAGGTATGTATGTGTGTTTATTTGTGCCCATATTTTTACGTTCCACGTAAGGGCGCGCTCTCCGAGGGATCTCTTATGCCTCTCGGGTGCGGTGAGTTCTTCGAAGGAAGCCAGTCGTTTCGTTTGCATACACCTACCTGTTTTGACTCATACATTGCCGGTTTTGTGTGTCGGTGGCCCGTGCATGGCAGGCGGAATTCCAAGCAGCAGAGGACATCCCCCTGGGTCCAAAGCTTGAGAGTCAGTCAGAATTCGTTTTTCTCTGTCAAGGTAAGGTGCGTGTTTTGCTCGACAACGTTACATCGCAACCAATACTACTGGTGTCGGCGCTCCCTAGCAATGCTGCTCTTGCTGAGAATAGAGGTTGTGGCTGCAGGTAAACGTTGGCGTACACCTTGATGCACAAGACAGGATATCTAGATATCACCGCAGCAAGGCAGCCTGACATGATGTGCTCTCCTGCTGTGGTCCCTCGCGTACCCCTGTGCCTCTCAGATCCAAGGCAGCTTGTTCTACCATTCAGCTTATCAGGACAACACAAATTGTGGAGGCTGGACAAGCCCACCAGGGAGGCGGCCGAAGCGGGGTTGGGACCTATTGTTCACGGACCGTCTCCAGCCGTCTTCCGTTCTTGCTAGAAGATGATTGAAGCGCAGTGGAGTACCCGAATACATCGATCTCGATTGCTTGGTTCCATCGAGTAGCTTGCGTCTTGGTCGACGGTCCCGAACATTCCGGATCATTTGCCAGCGCTGCAACGCGAGGAAGGCGCCCCTTTTTCGTTCTTTGAGGGTGGCTTGAGCTGTTGTTGCTGCGATTCTTACTCCGAGAGTTGCGGCTGTGTTTCTCCTGCTACTATATTTGCTGCCTTCGCAAAAACCTTCGCCTTGGAATTTCGATTATAAGTAGGTTTGGTCTGATCCCTGGACGGGAGTCAACTTCCTTCTCGTGGGTCTCGTAGCTCAGACACTATACTGTCTGCCTAGTAGTAGTTGGGGCCCTCCGTGTTGCCTGACCGCCCACATCTTGGATTTTTGGCGTGAAGGGCTGTCTGCCTGGTTCACGATGAACCCGACAGAGAGGACGGGCGTTTTGAAAGGTGTGAAAGGTGAAGTGTACTGCAGGATGTGCGCGGTTGAATCATAGAGCCCAGGCCAAACCTCCAGGACGTTACACGAAAGGTGTGAAAGGTGAAGTGTACTACAGGATGTGCGCGGTTGAATCATAGAGCCCAGGCCAAACCTCCAGGACGTTAGAACGGGGTTGACCTGTGCGGGCGAGACGCGAAAGCGACGATACCAGGCTTCAGGGATGCGAAGATTCGCAGCTCCTTTACATACCGTATCGTACAATTACCTTGAGTGTGGCCAAGGTCCGAGTTGTAGCGATCGTCTTGACGATTTTTCGGGGTATGTGTGGGCTACCCCATCCGGCGTACTACCTGTGTCAGTTTGCTTCATGTGTCTCATGCTTTGCACGATATTCCTTCGCGTCAGATTGCGACAACGGTCGGTAGTTGGTTTGCTTGCCTTGGACACTGCGAAAGCGAACATCCTGGATATAATTCAGAACGATCGTGGAAGTGACCACCACCACCACCACCACCACCACCACCACCACAATAACAGCAGCAGAAACCGTTGCCCCCAGTCATTCAGGGTCGGCAAGGAACATACGCTTTGCTTCATGAGCGAGATGGGCAAGGAAAGCGAAGAACGGCATGCTCCGTTGTGAGAGGTGGCCACATAGCACATGAGCAAAGTAGAGATGTACTTGGTTCAGTCCAAAGGACGTGCCCGATTGGTTCACCGTTCCACAGGAGGCGAACACGCACTCGATATGGAAATGCGGAAATGCATCAAAATGGAATATATTCCAATGATTTGATTTTGGAACAAACATGAAACGGCACCGGAAACATGTGAACAACCCCAGCTGACATACAGAAAAATGAAAACAATCTGAAAGCGTTCAGGTCCATGCAACAATGGACAAACCAAACCCGATAGCTTTGAGGGGGCAACTTACATCGACTGTTCGCTTGCGCGTGGGCAAAACGAGACAGGAGCAAGAGGGAAATCAATCGTGGCAAGGGATTCACTCGACCCACCGACTCTGAAGGCCTGCAATGAGCTTGTCCTACACAGCTTATGCGCTCGCAAAGAGGGTTGTGGATGAACCACAAAAATCGTGCCATACGTAAGGCTGTAAAGCACCTATCATGCCTTCGTTGAACGTCACATGCCGTCTACACCATGTCTACCTGCGGCATACTTGCAGAATATTCTCTCTTTGGCTCGATCAACATGCAACAGCATACACTCCCACTCGGACCGTCGGTCTGAAGGAGCAGCTAAAGGCCGACCGGTTCTAAAAGCAATTCAAGAACAAGAACATAAAACAAATCAAAAGGCAAACCAACACGAAGACACGTTATCAGGCTTTTCGCAGAGACGAGCCCAAGGGTATCGTCATTGAGGCTTTTGCAGAAAGGGGCGAGCCCAGGATAGACAGATATATATATATATATACTGCTGAACCTGTGCCCGATAAATCTATGAGTTCTGTCACAAGTGTACAAACCCTACGCCAACACTTGGTGAGTACTGTAACACTTCCGAAACACTACCTCACAGTTGTGAGTTGCGTCAGATTTCCAGACCCTGCATGGATTAGCAGTGAATCCGGTTAACCAGGCGAAACAAGACCCGAGGTAAGGATCCAACAAACAAAGTAAGATATTATACCGGAAAACAGGGTAAAATACCCGGAAAATGAGGGTTAGCACCGGGATACTATACTTTGTAAAATAAAGTGAGGTTCGGGTACGGGTACGGGTACGAGTACCGTATGCACTTGTGAACACACCCGAAATTTTCTGAGAATTCCGTTCGGCATGCCCGATTTTTTCTGTGGAAGTCAACAGCCGCTTCTAAAACCCTACCCAGACCACACAAGTCCTACAGTATGCACCCTTTTGCAAAATTCCAACGGTACATAAAAGGTAGCTACAATACTTTGTCAACCGACCGGCCGAAAGGCCCAACAAAATATCCATACTGCCTGATTTCAACCCGGTGGTGTTGCTCAAGGCCGTGTTGGCTCAAGGCCGTGTTACACTCGATGTAGTGAGCTTTCGCCAGCGTTTGTGTGGACATGGTTGAACGTCACCACAATCTCGCCGGCTGTCACCTTCCTTGCCCGGCGCCGCGTGTATCACTTGTAGTATCTGAAATAATAGAGGCAGGCATTTGAAAAAGGTTAACTTCTGTAACGTAGATGACGGGTGAGAAGTTATCGTGACGTATACAAGCGCGAAGGCGGCAGATGCAATACCACGGACGCAGTTCCTGTCAAACGGTTTGAAATTGCGGACAGCTTCATTTAGTTCGGACACATGTGTCGCAATCTTTCACCCTGCCCGAATTCGTGTGGTCTCTACTGTAGCCGAGGAGTCCACTCTCGGATCGCTGGAACGTGTCACGGAATCAAACCTACTGTACTCCTGTTAAAGAAAGTACACAAAATGTCTCGGTTGCTCGTTTCCTAAATATTCGCTGCCACCAACCTTGGCGCAGGGCGTGTGCCCCATGGCTGCTCGTTGTGTTTTCCCGCACACGCACCAAACGAGCCGGCAGTATTCGTTGGTGGCGTATTGATGTATGCGCGCGGTTGAACAGAAGAACGATGGTGAGGCGGGGGAAGGATGAGATACAAACAACAAACGTTGATACCGTCGGGTATGGCAGGAACTACTGTGAGCTGTGAGACGGGGACACGTAGACCTGAAACGCCTCGCGCTGCTTCACCAGTCGAACCTCAACACAGCCACTTGTTCGTTTCTCGTCCAACTTGGTCATTGGGTCATGAAGCTCAGTATGCGCCTTCCCAAGAACAGTGTTTCTTAGGACCACGAAGTAAGGCGATGCTATGAGATGGTGCTTACAAACGGAATTTAACCTTGATCATCTACAACGATAGCAGCAGCTGGTGGATTCGGTTATTTCCTGGGAGTGAACAATTTGCAATTTTGTAGTACAAGGCCATGTATTCGCGAGTGCAAAGTACGAGGGACTGCTGAAAACCAAACCTCGCGTTCAAAAACGAAGGCAAGCACCGTACTGGGAAGGTGGAAAACCAACACCAGAAAGACCCTGCGGTACAATATCTTCCTCCGGTGTGAACTCGGATAATTATTAAATTCGTACATATACCGAAAGGTGTAAAATGACGCAGAAAAGACGGCACGATATTACACACGGCACGGTGATGGGAAGTAAAAAATATGCGACGCACCTCGAATACTGGGATCGGAGCTGGGGCGCTTGGATCAGCCGGGTCTGCATTTTCGGCTGGCCCTGTCCCGTTCGTTTTCGCGCCTCTTTTTCTTCTCTTGAGCAACAGTGCTCCGATAATAACGATCGCGGCCACCCCCACTCCGGAAACTACACTCCCGACAACAATAGCCATGGTCCTGCCAGTGCTGCCATCTGAACCTTCGCTATCGACGGATTCAACCGACGTGGCGATCTCGCATGATCCGGTACATGTTAGCGCCTCGAAATCGAAACTGATTGCTGGAGTGTAGCTACCTTCCCCCTCCAAGTCACCTGTCAAGGTTTGAAACACGTGTCAACTTGGTGCTTAACGTTCACCGGAGACATTTCAACGTTGGCGGAACACGTCATAAACGCAAAGAGTAATTAGCGGTTGACGCTGAGCGGCAACTGATCGACTTTCCTGTGAGCACAGTTGTGGGGCGCACAACATGTGCATGCCGTATTGTCTTCCCAGCTTCAAAACATCAGCATGTCGTGTCTCTACTTCGAGAGGAAAACAAGGGCCATGAAACAGCGCAAATTCGGCACCATTAACGAGATCGCCCCGCACGCGCATGCAACAGCAGAACTAGCCTCGAACAAACCGATGGCGTATCTGAGCCTTGGGGGGGGGTGTACTCATAGTCGTGCATGCCGTAGTCGTTAGACCATTGACCTCGCATCCCTACAAAGCCGGGACGGAGCACGCCGGGTTCTCACCGGACCAGGCTCTCACATCACCAAGCGCGAAGCGCCGNGCGCTGCATCCTGCTAAGAGTGTTAAGCATCTTGTGCTTACTTCCTTGCATACGGATGACAGCTGCGTATGACTTGATATATTTTCTGGTGCTTCACTTCCAGAGACAGTTGCAAGCACTGTGCAACTGCCTTGAGGGTGCTTGACCATTTTAACACAACGTGGTGCGATCATCCCCCTTGCGTGGAGTGAGGGTTCTCCACCCCGCACAACATGATCTACTCGACCACCATTGTGGTTACCGCCCAAAAAAAAACAGAGGTAAACAAAAAAACGGTAACCTGGTTGCCGAGTTCACGAAGTGAATTGGCTTGTGTTACAACGTCGTTGCCAAGCGACGAAAGCCCAACCCCGATTGCAAACACCGAGGGGGGGGTGGTGGGGCGTCAAAAATCATCACAAAGACGCAAGTCGAAAGATAATATAATATCTACTTGACAGTCTTAACAGGATAAATAATTACTCACAATACCAAGAGGTCACAGGTATCTCAGTGGGGTCTTCCACATCATCGCTACCGATGCATTTGATTTCGTCGGGAAGGCCGAAACCGGCCACGAGTACGACCCAGTTGCCTTGTTTATTGGAGCCCTGCGCCTCCTGCGGATACAAACCAAAGCAGAATGGACGAGGAGGTCACGGCAGTGGTCCTGTACAACGATTGGAACGCATCTACATAGTACCAACAGGGAAGGAAGGCGTTAGACATAATGGATAAATGCCACCAACAAAGCGTGCAGCACATATGGCGTGTTTGTGCGAAAAACAATCGCGAGTTTTCGACCTCAACGCAGCACGCACGTGAGGGGGGAATTCGCCACGAGTTGTCGTCGGTCCCAGATCGAACATCATTCTGCCAAAAGTCAGGAATAGTTGAAACGGCCTGGCTTTGAGGAAACTAGCGAAAACGTCCCTGCGAGAGACCTTGCCGACACGACATCTGAAGGATATGAGTGCTGGCGAGCATCGCGCTGTATAGTACTGAATAGCAGCCAGCGGATTCGCTATCTAGACCCGTCCACCGAGCAGCGTTTGCAAGAAGCTAGGGGGGTTGTTATTCTCTACTACGCAAAGATGGCAGGGACACCAACCACACCTGCCATTCAATGATGGCCGTCTCGTCGAGTTTGACCCATCTTCCCCTAGCATTGGAACTCGTCCCGCGGGCATAGCAGCCGCTCATGTCTTGCATATCATTCGAAGCAAGCGTGAGGTTACATGCCGGTGCGGTCGGCGCAACGGTTCCACCAACAATAGGCGCCGGTGTCATCTGCCGTGCAGCAGACAAACGTCGATAGGATATAGCTGATGTGAGTCCTAGTCTATCCATGGCAAGTCATGCGAGCCTCCGAGTAGCCCCGTGCTACAAGAGACACGAGGGTCAAGGTGTGCGTTTTCCTGCAACCTACATTGTATTGTACCGAAGGAACACCCGTGCTAAAAAAATATAGACAGCAGGATCGCGACAACAGGCAAACCAATTTCACCTCCATGGAACGCCATGACTCCTACGCAAACGTTGCACCCTTGGCCAGCATAATTTGCTCGTTACGAGAACATGTAATATACATAGTTCATTACCACATGAACAGTAAGCTGGTCTCACTTGGTTCGAATTTGCGCCTCCTGAGATAGGAACTGGCGTTGGATCCACTGCAATAATTACAGCTGGATTCGGCGTGGGTACATAGCCGTCAGCGGCAACAGGAGCAGGAGTGTGGGATATGACACCAATTGTTGGTTCTGGGGTCGTCGGTGCTGGCGTCGGTGCTGGCGTCGGTGCTGGCGTTGAGATGGTTGTAGGCATACCGGCGCACCCACAGGTGACAGCTAAGTCGCCGCTTTCGGGAACTGAAGTGACTCCATCGCCATCAGTGTCACCTTCGGTGCATGGAAGCAATACAGCGGTAGTGAAAAGAGAGCAAGAGAGCGATCGGGTTCGAGGAAAAGCTCGAGCTACGTTGATCGTAGTTTCAGACAAGTGATAGCACTTCCTAAAAATGTACTTGAGCGTGTTCGTGTATTCGAGGCGAGTTTCCACCCACGTCGTACCAACACTTCGTAATATACCCGAGCAAAAATGCTGCGTAAACATGGTAGTCTACCAGGTCTGGAGCAGACCAGTCTCCTCCAATTTAATGCGAAATTGTCTGAAATGTATTGATTGTTCCGAAGTTGAGCACGCGTCTCGCCACACGATTACCAGCGAGTGACTGGATTAGGATGGCTCGATCAAGTACACGTACATGCCCATTGTATCTCCTGCGCGGGGTCTTCCGTTTCCCAGAACGCCGAAGTCCCTGTGCACACCAGGTTGACTACTTCCAGCCCAGAGCTGTAGCCATCAGACCAAGTATTTTGGGGGAGAGCAGTCACCGTACCAATAACCCAAACCGGATCGACAAGTGGGCCATTTTGCTGTTTTGGAGTTGCGGAGAGAGGGGCGAAAGAAATGGCAAAAACGCAAGCGTTCCAAGCGGCGTGAGTGATCACGAAGCTCCTGGAAGACATAGATCAATGACTCCAGAGGAACGTATTGAAAAAGGCAAAATACAATATGTTAGTACGACCGACCGTAGACTACAGAGGACATTCACTTGATTTTGATTTTTTTTTTTTGGTCTTCACTTCAAATCAGCGCTCACGGCACTAGTGCCGTTTACTCCAACCCGTGGTAACACACAAGAGGGCTGCGGTGCTTTGCCTTCGATTTTTGATGCGAGAAGAGTTCAGCACTCTCTTCCCTCTGTGTACACACGACCTAGCACTATCCACTAGGCCAGGAGCGGAAGCGAGAGAAAAACTCACTTTGCAAGAAAAGCTCGCTTACGCCGGCATTCCAACCTCTGACCTGACCTCTAGAGGGTTTCGAGGATACCAACTAGACCACCGGGGCTTGGTCGGTACTGAAGGAAAGAGGCCTCCTCGAGACTCGCGAAAACACCTCGGAATCGGGGATTGCACGTGGTGTTGCCTCAAATTGTCCACGTACGCACCATTACAGAAAGTCCATATCTGGTTCTACGCAGGGGGCACCACGGTAGACCACACCAGTAGAGTGCTCGCCTTACGGAGTAAATATTGCTGAAATACACGTGAAAGACTCGATGTTCCTATAGGTAAGTAGAAAGATAAACGCCCTGCGGGTGAAAAATAATATTTCACTCTTTGACTGCTCGAATATACCTACAAGCAGATCTCAAGTGGTGAGTGATGATCTCCATGGGGTTGTTACCGGTGGTTCGCTCCAGAGCGATATTGGCAGCCTCTCTGTGTATTGTATCTGAATGATAGCGGAGGAGAGCGGCGTACAAGAGTAAGGCTACGAACTACTGTACATACCCTTGACGAAGATTGCCCACGGGGTATCTTTATCTTCGATGACGCAACACGCTGCCGCCCTACAGCAGTAGTTTCGTCATACATGCAACATCTCTCTACGATTGACGATTGGAATGGAGTAGTAGCTCACCAGATCTGCCAATATGGCTTTCGTTCCAAACTCAGCCACATCCCTTCCGTCGATCGTCCAAACCTTCGTCTCGTACAGCCCAGCGTACGGACTCTCCTGGTAACATCCCGAAAAGGTAAAAGCGGTTGTTTCGATGGTGAGAGCAGATTGAGTACACAGGGCACCAGTCGCCATCGGTGAGAGGAGAGCGACTAATACTGGTGTCCATGCCTTCCCCATTTGATCCATCCAGGAGAGTTGGTGGTTGGTGTGACGCCAGCCGCCGCCGTCAGCAACTCTGGCGCGGCAATTCCGTGGCGAGTGCGACTAGTTGGCGCAATTGGACGAGTGGAATTGACGAAGAAGCAGGAAGCGCGGGGCGCACCCAGAACAACAGCAGAGCAGTGAGACGAACAGCTGTACCCTATTAATATATTGATCACCCAGTCGAGGGTCTGGAGCGCAGGACACGCAGATGATATCATGCAGACCACCACCACCACCTGTGGTAGGAATATACGAACACCCAACTATTTTACCATGCATACGCTGATTATATTTTGTTTTCTTGTATTTTATCGCTCTGCTGACCCTTGGGGTCCATTTTATTTTGGTATACCTTTTCTAGGTACGTTAGCCTGTGACCACGGAAATTGGCCGAGTCAAGTGATGGATTAGTACGGAGAGATTGAGACAGAAGGAGGTACTGGATAGAGAGACCGGGATGGTTTTTAATGTGAAGACAACAACAACAACAACAACAATACGCTGAGATCTACTGGATCTAACGGACCTCCAGGGCGCGTGCGTGCACAGATAGATATGATATGTACCACCCGTTTCACGTTTCCGCCCACGACAGCACCTGCCGAACGATGTAGAGAGGCGAGTAGTGATTATCAAGCAGGCAAGAAGACCGCAAGAAGTCGCCGCGCGGGAGTCTCCTGCTCCGACCGTGATGGGTGTGTGGCAAGGCTCATTATGTGACAAACAAGTGACATGAGCTTGGATAAAATAGATTCGCCGAAAAAATATTCGAATTTTTTTTTTTCTGAAACCAACGTGCCTGCGATCATGACTCTGTCTCTCTGCCTCTCCGTCTCTGCTCCTCTGTCTTTTCCTATCTTTGTGTGTGTGTGTTCGTGCGTCTCTCTGCACTGTTGTCTTTCCCTCAACTCTGACGGGTGTTTGTTATTCCTCCGGGCTCTGGCCCAAGAAACAATGACGGACGTACAAGTACCATTTTTTTTGCCGTTTCTGCCAATCTCTCGGGGTCTCGGGGTAACTACACAAGTCGTTTAGTTTTTTCCGGGATATGGGGATGTTGCATCGTGGTTGCATCCCTGTCCGTAGACTGACAATTGGGGTATGTTCCTTTCAGCCTAGGAGAGCTGGTTTACATACCTAGTGTAGTTCGTTTATAGCAACCACGCCCCCATATGCATACTAACTTTGGACCGTGCGTCACCTGCTGATGTTCGACTGCAACACAGCAGCACAGGGCACAGCAGTGCTGTTTCTTCATTTATACAAAAAAATAAAAAAATGAAAAGGCTTAATTCCGCCGCATTGCTGCTGTCGCACCAACCCGCCGGCAGTGCCTGTGCGCCTGTGCCTTGTGCACCCACAGTAGATAATACGCAGTCGCAGGTATTTTAGGGGAGACTGTTCGGGTATGATGAGACCAAGTGCATTGATCTTGTACGTGGCATTAGGGGTCAGCTTCCCGCTAAAAGGCTGTGCTCGCGGATTTGGGCGAAGACTGCTGATGCAAGGCCGCACGGCTGCGGACGAGTGGGAAGCGTCAACTAGGCAAGGAATTCTGGAGAGCGCGACGATTGAGGCGGGGCGTGAGAGCCAAGAGTCCCACCCTTTGAGAACCCAAGACTGGACGCTTCAGGCAAGTACTTTCATTCAAGCAAGCGTGGTGCAAAAGGTGCTGATGAATGAAGTCTACAGGTTGCTTGCGATACGATGCAGCAGTTGGGTTCTTCATCCGAAACAACACTGCTGCACTACACACTACCTACACCGATGCGGCGTTGCTGCTACTGCTGTAGCACGCACTTTTCGGGTCCAGAGAGACCCCCCCGCCTCTGTTATAACCAACATCGTGTGTCTACAAGCGCGCTGTCTTTTTTTAGACACGTAGGACCATTCTGCGTGTTGGTCTAGTTGTATGCAACTTACAGTCCGGCTTGTTGAGAGCGTAACGAACGGGCACCAAAGGGTTTAAAATTTTTGAAAGCCCAAGATTCAGTCACGTAAGTCGACGTGTGGATCGAGTCACAAACCTCATGGATCGGGCTGTTAAGTGAGTGTGTGTGATGTTTTTTCAACATCGATCGCGCTAACCGACTGACCAACGAAAAAACGTCAGTCTCGGTGCGGCTGAAAACAAAAACGCTTCTAATTGCCATGAATGGGACGACATAGGGGAGGCTGAACTCTTCTCGGTATTATAGTAACAACAGAAGAAAATTGCAGATGTCTACCAAAGCTGCCAAATTGCGCTCGAGTTCGTTTTGGAGTGCTTTCACCAATATCCTCCTTGCTTTCACCACCATGACTCTCATCGCCTTTACTACACGCCATTTTGCGACAATCTTCTCTAGCCCTGCGTCGCTTGTTGTGAGGAAGATCATCTGGCTCGAAGCTTGTTCTCTTCCACTCCATGCTTCCCTCCTCCATCGCTGTCTGTTCGTTCCCTTGTCCTCCCGTTCCCTTTCCACCTCCTTCGTCGGTCCCAAATGAATTCCTCATTCCACCATCGTCGTCTTTGTCCACAGTAGTAAAGTCACAACCTATTGACTTTGGCGGAATTGGTCAATCCGTAACACATAGCGTTAACACGTCGCGAGTTCGAACTGACAGCTAGCGAGCTAGCTCAAAGGTGAACTGCCTCCGAATCCCATTTGTGTGAGAAGTCTTCAGACCCATCGTCAAAATCTCGCTCGCAGAAGTCTTTGTGGGCAGGATGGGTGGCGGTGGCTACGACTATCCAATTTGTGTCACCATACATCGAAAAGCAGCACTGCCGGACTGTTCAACCGGACAGCCCACGGAAGTTCTCAGGCACATCTATGTAGACGGGTTGAAAGTTCCCGCAGAGTGGTTTGCCTGATGACTTGCTGCTCTATCTTCGAGAGCGGACCCTGGTGTTTGAATCGATTTTTCGATGCTTGCCACTTGCAGATGGGTTACGATGGTGACAGACATCTACGAGGACAGACTTGGTGAAGAGATCCTCTTCTTTATCTCTGCGCGTAATCCTGCGGGGTTATCCATCTTGTAGAGCCTTATTCCCCTACCAGTACCAGTGGTAACAGGGGAAGAATCCTCGACTGCGATTGTCATGCGGCACTGGCGTAGTGTCTTGAGGAGTGCTCGAACCATGCTGTTAGGGAGGGAGGTTGAGGCGCCGGTCTTCGTGCAGACGAGGGAGTGGGCTCGGCTCAAACGTTCCTTGCATGGTGACATGCACCCGCACCGCAAAGTCTTCCTGTGTCGCAGTCAGTTCGATCGTGACTCCTCAGCACGACCGACTGAATACACATCAGGCGGCATTGTTTGATCCGCTGACAGCCCTTACGTTGTCAGCCACGATAAAAATCCCTTGCCTTTCGTTTTCTCCACGCAGATTAATGCCCTTTTGCCCGACGTTTCCTTGCATGCGACCTTATGCAAGTCTGTGTCGACCGTACGACGCACTGCCGCATGAAACGGTTTGGACAGGACTGCTTGCGCTCCGAAAACTTGATTATGCTGACCCAAAGAGTTGCGACCGCATGTAGACGGCGGTGTTTGCCGTTTTCTCGTCAAGGTTGTTGCCGCCATTATCTCTCCGTACCTTGCCGGCGTCCATGAGAGAGAACTCCTGTGAGCATTGGAGTACTCCTGTGAGCATTGGAGTCAAATCATCACATGTAGCCAGTTTTGTCAAAGACTGGCCAACAGTTATTTCACGCTTGTCTTTGTTAGTGATCTCCTCTTGCTTCCTCAGCGACTCAATCAGCGCTAATCCTGTTGGTAGCTGTGCAAATCGGCGGAGACATGTCTCAACGGTGGATCCGGTCGATGCTTGGACTGACTTGGAGAAAACGAGCGTTTGCCCTGCCACAGGAGCCGATTCTCGAATGAGGACATTGCTCGTACTTCCGAGTCCTCCTTCACGTATGGGCAAGTGCACCTGTACCCGAGCCGTGCCTTTCAAGAAATGGACCACAAGCTTCTCCGGGTCTGCGCGAACCTTTCCTGCGGTTGGGGTTCCCACGGTGTCTTGTCATTTTTGCCGAGGACGATCGTGCTCATTGCCCATATGATCATGTGGTCATGTTCTCTTGCGGCAGTGTTGATGATGGAAGGCGCATACATTCGTTCTCAGCAGATGGAACAAACGTGGCACGCCAGAAAAACGCAGCAGCTGATAACTGGCTTGAGGGTCAAGTGTCGTAAGGCGGCGTCTCAACTCCGCAGCTGAAAATCCTGCGTCCGTACTGGGACTCCGACTCTTGCCATGCCACCTTCAGCATCTGAGACCCGTTTTCGTCGTTCTCGCTGTTCGTCCTTCGTCAAGTGGAGAACCAAAATCCTTCTGGGAAAAGGACTTTCGACTTCGGGAGACTGAGCTCAATGGCTTTTTCCAAGAGGTGTCCTTGTATGTATCCATGTGGTTACAGTGGCGATGGCCTGAATATTCCAAGCCAAACCTGGTGAAAGATGCGCTTGGAGGTCGTCGACGTGTCCGACCAGTTTGACTCCTGGCACTGAAGGCTTGTCATTGAACTCCTTCATTATGTCAAGAAGTCCTATAGAAACCGAACCCTCCTAGATTGCAGCGTTGTTGCACTCCGCGTTGTAGAAGAACAATCTCGATCGAACAATTTTCCATTTTGAGCAGAAGTTTCGCTATGGTTCGAGCGTAGATATTCCGAAGTACTTCGACAACTGTGGCGTGTGACCACTGTTGGTAGGATAGACGATGGGCGCATCATGTTGTCAGGATTTTTTTCATCAAACGATAAAGCAGGGCTGCTTTGTTGATGACTGAGGGCTGCTGTGGAAGCCACTATTGCTACTCCTCCTGGAACGCCACCTCCGCACTAGTTTGCTGCTTCAAGAATATATGGTTGCAACTTCCTCCTTGTACTGGCGGCAGAAACTGCCGCTGATGATGCGACGTAGGACCCCTCAAACTACATTCGGTCGTTTATTCTCTACCAATGCTGAGAGGCTGCCACTTGTGTGGACGTTCCAGAAGAAATCCTGGAGCTCGTCGCCGTAGTAAAAACTTTGTAGCTGAAGTCAGACAAGGTCTCTGAGAAATAACCGCTCATGCCACCAGCTCGAAGATACGAACACCGTAGACCATCGGGCCCTGGAGCATTCAGTGGGTTGTGTTTGCTAGCCGCCTGTTTGATGAACTTCGTTTCAAACGGCTCGTCAGCTTCCTCGATGGTGTATGTCTTTTGTATTCCTTCAATATTTGGGTTAGCTTTGATGCTGGAATCCCACGCAGCAGCAATGTCTTCAGGCTTTTAATGGGGGTGTAGGTTGCGGAGGTGTTCCAACGTGGTGCTGTTGCGTGGTGAAGGTGCTGGGGAGATTGAGACGCTAGCAGCTTAAGTGATGCCTCCTCTTGCGCAAGTATCGTGGATTGTCTCCGTCGATTGTCTTGAGTTATCCCCATAATATTGAAGTGGACGATTGTTCTCGTAAGAGCGTGAGCCAGGTGACGGGTTCATTCAGGTTATCGTTTGTGAAGCGGTTAAATCAGGATACACGGTTCATCCAGTCGAGTCGTGCAAAGCTAGAGTGAGATTTTCTGTGTGTGTGCTTGCTTTGTTGGCATCAAACGCGCTAACCGGCTCACTAGTGATGTATGCGTACATGCGTCAGTCATACAACGGGGTATGACAGCATTCGATAGTCATGGGCGTTGTTCAGAGCAATGTCGTGGTTGTTGATGGTGCTTTAAGGGTTTGGCTTTATCGTTGTCGTTGCCGACTTCCTCCCTCCTACTACTTTAGGCACATCCTCAATTACCATCTATGGCAAGGCAACCCCGTCCACACACCAGCGAGAACGTGCAGCGTGATGAGTGGTAGTTTTTACGGTCTGTTAGTGACTCTTCCAACCTACGCGGTTTCACGCCCTCTGATTGGTCAGGCGTTGGCTCCTAGCCTTGACCCTCTCCAGCGCCCTCCCTCCGTTCCGCATCCTGAGAACGCGGCTGCGCCGCGTTCTCGCCCAGTTCGCGGCCGCTAGGCCGTGCGTTGGCCGTGGGTGAGGGTTAGGGTAAGGGTTGCGTTGGGTTAGGTTGTCCACGGTGTGTTCTAGCGTTCAACACCGGTTAGACCTAAAGAGTCAGTAACAGACCGTAAATAGACCTAAGCGTGATCCACAAACAGGTGCTTGAGGTTGGTCTCGGGGTGCCCCAGAATCATCGACCCCAGCTCCCCCGGTGTCGAGAGAGGCGCAAGCTCCCGTCCTCCTCTCTCCACACGCCTCCCTCGCTTTCCACCTTTCATCCCTTCCTGGAACAAGTCCACCTGACGCGGTCGGACGATGAGGCCTTAGTCTGGGCCGTTGAAGATCGGTGTTGCTTACCGGCTCCTTGATCGTTGTCCACGCAAGGGTCCGTTGTCGCTGGTCTGTCGACGGGATTGCCTTGCCATAGATGGTACTTGAGAATGGGAGAGAACGAGAAGTTGCGTCTCCGTCGACACCGCGGCAGGTGCGGGTAGTTGACTCCGAGCCACCCTGAGGACGACCCCCCCAAGCACCTGGTGCCGAAAAGCTTGTGGCTCACAGGTTCACGCGGCGACCAAGGCGGCCAGTAGAGCGCGCAATAGAAACGCCGCTCTGCCGTCGAGGGAGGCGCGGAGGAAGTTGGATGCCACGGTCCAATCTCCAGGTTTGGCTGAGGTGAAGACTCAAGCACAACCAAGTAGTGTTCCTTGCGATACCTACGCACCCTTGCAGTGGAGGTGCTCTCTTTCCGATTGCTCTTCACTCCTTGGGGTTCGTCCCTGCGGTATGTATCTTCCGCATGTTCGTCCCTGCGATTCTTTCTGGACCTCTCTCCGCTACTCTGTAGATGCGTTACAGCAGTGGGGGTCATGGTGTAGCCGTTCCCTATTTGGCGAAATTCCCTGTGTTGCACCGCTGCACCCCTGTTTGGGGCTATGTATTGCCCTCAAACCGATCGTGCCTGCCATAGCGGTTGTTGGAACTGTTTTCAGCGAGCAATACACGCGCGCTTGCACACACACCGCGATACAGCAACGGCACCGACAGCGGGCCGCACACACACGAGGAGGCGCACTATGTTCACAAGGCAAACATGTTGTTCCTCGCAGCGCACGCCGCTAAACCAACGCTCCAGGCAGATGTCAGAGAAGCGGTATTTGGTGAAGCATGATCGATACATTCGTAGTGGCGAAGTAGCGTGGCAAAGTAGCAAAAATTAACTCACTGAAGCACGGGGTTGTTTGCCATTCCTTGCGTTATCAGGAATTTGCCCAAACGTGCCGTAGAGGTGCGTGCGATCTTCCGATCTTGGTGAGGGCCGTGCCTTGTGAATATATTTTGTCACTTACTTTTGTTTCCGTCACCCCACCTGCCTTTTTTCGTCTATTCGCGGACCGGATTCCTCATGCAATGATATTATGCACAAGGACAAATTACCTGTTTAACCTCCTGACTATCATGTCCCTCTACTTTACTCCTACGTTTCTTGAGTATTGAATGCTCTGCCCTGTGTTGTATGATACGAACCGCTGGTAAGCGTGATGCTTGTATGTTTTCCCCGTTCATTGTCCCGAACTTGCAGATTCGTTCACGCCCGTGGACCCGACGAGAGCAGGAGGTAACATTCCATCGCAATGGCACCATGTCCAGCAATGACGGCAACAAGGGAGAGTGGTGGTTCGATGTCGGTGGACTCTATTGGGTACGTGCGGTGCAGATAGCAGAGACAGTAGATCCCGCAGATATACAGTCGTGTTTGTATTCGTGAGCCAGTGCAAAAGGCGATATGAGGGACTTCATGGCGAAACACCTAAGGACACCCAGCGCGTGTCACTCGTACTCACACAGTAACAGCGGCTTCTACTCGTGGATGTCCATCGCATCCACCAGACGCGCTGCGCCGTTTCTTGATTTGCGAACTGCCTTCTGGAAGGATACCACGTCGTGCAACACCCCGAGAGCCTTTTTCAGGCGGAATACCGGTACACCCTAAGAAGACCTCTCGTCCATAGCCGTCGTTTTTTTTAAAGCAATTAGGTGAACGGGCCGAAGCCGGGGTAACATGAGAAAAGTTGTGAAGGGGGTAAGCGCAGGCGATGTGTGCCGTGGGCAAAGATATACTCCCTTGATACCAGCGGGACGGAGAGTCGCAGGTTCTTGGTAACGCATGCCCTCTAGGAGGCAATTATTTTTGCTCATGTTCTTGCCATCAAGTCCAGCAGTTGCGCGGCGCCTGTCCGACCTCTTCTCTCCTATTATCTTGCAGTTGGTGCCTGACAATGTGGGTGTTATCCCCGATGCTTGTGCGAAGCGATGTCATCGATGCAATGGGATTGTGAAGGGACCGCGTCGTACCTTCTCATGGTATCATATTTCTTGTTACGTGGACACTCACAACCTTACATGTGCAAACTGGCGCCATGCTTCAAAGTGCACTCCCTCTCCTCTCGTCGTTTGATCACTTGTGGCATTTACGCCCGCAACAACAGGACGTAAACACCACAATTCGAGCTGCTCCAACAGTGCTCCACCACAAGGCTGAGCTCCACTGGAATGTCTTCGGTTCGCAACCTCGAATGTTCAGAGGCACCATCACCCGGGACCGCCTCCCCGATTCACCATTGCCACCGTGGCTGTTCCGACCTGTTGTCGGCTCATTTATAGGATCAGGTGTCGGTGATGACACCGCCGACACATCGTACAGGCACCGACAAACAGGAACGAGCGAGCAAGCGAGTCCACCCCCCACGAGAAGAACGGATCGCTACTAACGACTTTATAGCCAGCAATTCTGTTTTGAGACTCTACCATGGTAGTCGGACACATTTGCAGTAGGGTTCCGATGGTTTGCAGCCAGTGTGTCGAGTGAGCTGGTCGTGTCTTTCTGGTTCGTCGTTACGTGTTACGGCTGGACGATGTGGCTGGAAATGGGTAGACTGGACAGAACCACCTAGCCTGGACAGAACCACCTAGCCTGGACAGAACCACCTAGCCTGGACAGAACCACCTAGCCTGGACAGAACCACCTAGCCTGGACAGAACCACCTAGCCTGGACAGAACCACCTAGCCTGGACAGAACCACCTAGCCTGGACAGAACCACCTAGCCTGGACAGAACCACCTAGCCTGGACAGAACCACCTAGCCTGGACAGAACCACCTAGCCTGGACAGAACCACCTAGCCTGGACAGAACCACCTAGCCTGGACAGAACCACCTAGCCTGGACAGAACCACCTAGCCTGGACAGAACCACCTAGCCTGGACAGAACCACCTAGCCTGGACAGAACCACCTAGCCTGGACAGAACCACCTAGCCTGGACAGAACCACCTAGCCTGGACAGAACCACCTAGCCTGGACAGAACCACCTAGCCTGGACAGAACCACCTAGCCTGGACAGAACCACCTAGCCTGGACAGAACCACCAAGTGTTTTTATCGCAGTGAGCGCGCACGCCGATGCCGCTTCTTGAGTTGGATCCCTCGCGGAATTGGGGGCGTTGTATCGGGCTACGCTGGAGCGTGCACAATCACTTCACCCCACCCAGTTTCAACTGAATGCCTATCGGACGGACACCCGTTTTGTAGGCGTGTTCGATGTGACGCACGCGGGAAAGTAGGACACGACCCGTCGCCCCACCTGGTTGTGCTCCGTCATAGGGAAGACACATGCAGGGTGTTGGACATTGACAGGGGGTGAAACATGGCAATTGGCAGGAGTTACGGAAGCACCCACACAAGTCAAGATGATGCACACGCGAGCACATTTGTATTTATATTTCCTAACAATGGTTCTGTTCGTGCGGTCGGTGCACATTCACCAATTGTGTGGGTGCACCCACTGCTGCTGTCGTTGGTGCTCGACTCGCACAATTCGCACAATTCGCACAGCAGTGGTGGAAGTTCGAATCTAAGACTGGTTGATTCTGAGCACAACAAACTCTTCACAGGTTTGGTATCCAATTTGGTGGATAGTAAAACGTATGGTGGGTTTCAATACGCCAGTCTTGCAGAGAACCGGAAATGCCACTGCTGTCTGTCCTTGGGACTATATCTAGATGTGTGTTTTCCAAACCGGTAGTCAAACAATCCGCACAACGATCGTTCGTATGCATACAGATCTACTCCTGTGCAGCAGCTGCTGTACAATCATAGTGTAACCATCGAGCGTCACGAGGGGACACAATCAATAGCACGTACATCTGGACCTGGATGAATTCACCCCTCTTTTGTCCGTTATCGTCGATGCCGCGTGACGACAGGAGCGGCACAGCTGTTCATACCTATGGATCTAAAATGTTGTGGCTAACAGGTGATTTGCACCGCCTTTCCAACCGGAGTTCAGTGGCGGAAGCGTGTTTTTCTTTTTTTTTTCCCAGAGCTTGTTCTGCGAAGCCCCTTTTTTTCTGGCCAATAGAAGCTTCACACCTGATACATTACGTCGTGTGAGTGTGTGCTAGCAACAAGTGCATCGTGCTCCCCTCGTCACAAGCTTGCTGCCCGCAGGAATCCGTGAAACATCAGAAGGAGGCTTGCCTTTTGGGAGTAGGTAAGTGGCATTTGTGTCTCACTGGAAGGAAGCCGATTGATTCGGTGAATTTCGCCATGCCCGTCCTTCTTTCGAAGCTAAACTTGTCAGAGAGACAAAGCGAGAACTTCGGGAGCGGCGTGTGGCGTGTGAGAAAACAGAGGGGTGGGGAGAGAATTGCTCACGCAACATCCGGCGTGCTTGGATTAACTACGCGATGTCAAGTTGGAAGCACCGCTTCTTGGCTGAGCCATCTAATTGGCGACGGCGGCGTTGCTCCCATTGTTCTAAGGAAGAACGTGAGCTTTCTCCAAGCAGAAAGCCACACCGCCGTGTTTTGCGGCACTTCGACACGCCGCATATCTAGCTTCGAATTGGCACGGACGCTAGCCGGCTCAGGTCGGCAGGCTTTATATGCCGCCTTGATCCTGTCCGGGGGTATGGTCAGTGCACGCCATCTAGTTTTCAACGATATCGGGGGTTGTCGTGATTTGATTTCTTGCCGCCATCGAACAAGTATGCATAAGAAAAACGAAAAACAGCCCCGGGTGGAGGCCTTCCAGGGAAAATGGAGGTGATCTGTCCGGGCGCGCCAAGACAAGCGAAGGCATACACCACACGTCCCCTCCGTCAGCAGATGCCCTCCCATCTCTGCAGTCGTGGGCCCAACGTAGAGTAGGAATATTTGTGGTTGGGCCGTTAGTCAAGGCATTTGTGTCCTCACGCTTGGCTGCTTCACAGACGGGGTCGTTTACCTCACCTTTCGACCCACCACCCCAAATTCTTGACCTGCTGCCGTGTACTTACCTGCTTCCCGCCACGTCTGCCCCTTCCTCCGCACCTCCCACCAACACCGCAGGCGGAACCATGGGACTCGCATTCTCCCGACTGTGGGAGCGTATGTTCGGCAAGAAGGAGATGCGTATACTGATGGTACGAGATAGGGAGAGGCAGTAAGGGTGTTGGGTTGTGTCCAGCGGCAGCTCGCCACTGCTGCTGTACTACCTGGTTTTTTTGTTCTTGATCACGCCCTCCATCTGCTGCCCCCATTCCCCGATCAGAAACCGCCCCTGATTTTGACTTGTACTGCTTTTCGATGTGGATTTCTCCTTTCGCAATAGCATGTCGTGCACGATACGGGGATGCGACACTTAGTGGGGCCGCAGATGACACGCTCGTCTCGTCTGAACTCTCCCCGAGGAAACACAGCATGTACAGCGTCAATGCTTACGATGTATCAACAGAAGTGTTACGCAATCAATATGTGCAGGACAGCAGCACGTAATATCTCATCGAACCTTTTCTGACCCCCGTTGACGCAACCATCTCTTCCCAGGCCAGAGGGCAAGAACGCAATAGAACAGAAGACCTTACATGTGCCTCTTGCCACGCGCGTGTCCGTTTCTCAAATATTTTGTTCGAATTATCATCCGCCGAAATGAAGGGCTGATCATCCGCACCGTTTTTCATCGACCTATCGTGGAGATTCCTTAATTTTCGGCATAATGTTTTTCGGGAGACCCCCCCCCCCCCTTGGTCGAAACCTCCCGTCACTGCAGATGGGATCTACTACTATCTACCCAGCGGGCAGGTTACAACCGGCTTGTTGTTGACAGGCGGGGGTTGCTGAGTGTCGTACGTTCTTCGCCGCTGCTGTGGCGTAATAGTCCGCCCGCATTCATCTCCGGATCAGACGGCTGCTGCTGTTTTTTTGTTGCTTGACCGCGGTGCTGTCTGTCCCCTTGCGTGGCACGAAAGGTGGGTCTGGACGCGGCCGGTAAGACGACCATCCTGTACAAGCTCAAGCTCGGAGAGGTGGTGACAACTATCCCCACCATCGGGTTCAACGTGGAGACTGTAGAATACAAAAACATTAGCTTCACCGGTAAGCAGCATGCGTTTCCCAAGGGTAGGGTGTGATACTGGGCAGAGGGGACATATCCGCCCGTTCCCCAACAGGCACTTAATTTGGACGAACTTACGACCGTGAGTCCCCTAAAACGAAACCGAAAATCATGAATTCGCACATGTATCTCTGTACATGGGTTCGGAGGCACACGCCGCGTTCAACTGGAGAATATATAAACGTTGGACGCAGCAGTGTTGGTGGGAGACGCGAGCATCGACTCGAAATGTTGCGCTCTGTAAGGCAGGCACCGGCAGTTTCCTCCATCTAGCGACTCTGGCACGAACACATAGACTTTGCTTTTTGAGTTTGTGTCTTGAAGCCACACACAAAACCTCAAGATCATTTTAGATACGTACAAGGGGAACCGGTGGCGAAAGCTTTGTTAGTGCGCATACATGCACGACGCCGCACAAACACTAACGTTGTTTTCGCCCGTTCGTCGACGACAGTTTGGGACGTCGGAGGGCAGGACAAGATCAGGCCGCTGTGGAGGCACTACTACCAGAACACGCAGGGGCTGATCTTTGTCGTGGACTCCAACGACAGAGACCGCGTCGATGCCGCACGGGACGAACTCCACCGCATGCTCAACGAGGACGAACTGCGCGAGTCCATCCTTCTCGTGTTCGCTAACAAGCAGGTGAGCATTGTGTACCGGGGTAGGCATGTGCATCTGCCCACGTACAGCGCCGTGCTCGTCGTCGGCGCGCTTTGCTGAGTTGACGTGGTTCCTGTCAACAAGCCGGTGTCAAGGGTATTTCTCCGAACGCCAGTGGTTTTCTTGCAAAATCGTGTTCGAATGGAAATCAACATTTAACGTTGCCGACTTGGCTGTTGAGTTCTTGCCATCCAACATGAGCAGGGAAGATCTCATGTGTCCGAATGGATGGGGGCGTTTCGGAAGTAGGTCTGGGTTTCGCCAAATGGGGTGTGAGCTAGGTCGGCTGTCGTTGCGTGGGCGTGCTAGTGAATATTCTAGCTCGAATCGGCACCACCCTTCCTATTCGCCTGTGTGGGGGGGGGGGAAATGCGTAGACGCGAAGCACAATCTGCCATCCTCTTCTTTTGGGATGCCAATCTGCCTGGGTACAGGACACGTCAGGATTCGCAAGCGAAACCAAATGTGGGAAAGGAGATGTCTTTTTTTGTGTATTTTGGACTTACCCCTTGAACGCTTGCAGGTGTGGTTGATTGATGGCTGTGTTGCGACCCTACCCCCCCCCCCATGATGACATCAATGCCGGAGATTCACACAGTATGGGGCGACGTGAAGCCGTGAAGAGGTTTCCGCAACGACAAGGCGGACTACGTAGCCATCCGTTCAAATACTTTCCAGCTCTGGCGTCTCGATATGGATATGCGTTTGCTTGACACGGCTGCCCCCCCCCCCCC